CGGATCGCGCCGCCGGGAAACCTATGTGTGTGTGCGTGAGCAGACTGTCATGTGTCAGTCATATGTCAGTGTGATTGTTCATAAAACGTCTTTCTATGTTTGCTTTTCAATCGTCATCTTCTCATATTTTATTTTAATTAATGTCTAAAATAGCCCACTGAGCAAAATGATGTCCAAAAGATGTCTTTTTAAAGTCTTTGTCACAAAAGTCGACGTTGAAAAGACGTCCACTGAGGAGCCAGAATGAAAGTTTTTATGACGTCTTTTTTTGACGTGTTCTGCACGTCCGATATAGACGTTCATGGACCCTTTGTACAAGTTTAAAAACTAGTTCAAATGTGGCCATTGTGGACATATTTTTTACATCATTTATGGTCTCATTTAGACATAATTACTTTGACTATTGCTGTCAGATGATCTTAGTGAGAATTAGCAGAGGTTTAGATGTTGATATTTGTTTCATTTTAAGTCACCATTGTGGTGATCAGTGTTTGCTTTAGTTGGGCTCTTGGTCCCCTTTATTTTTACTTTAGCTTTTCTTTGGCTGTTGTAACTGTGTATTTGTATAACACTTGTTGTGGCAGAGAAAGCCAAGAAAAAGTATTATAAGGTGTTATCAGCTCAAAGTTTATGATGACATAATCATCATAAAACAAGCATCAAATGTTGAGTTTGAAAATGTGTTTATATTTGGCATTCATAACCACCAATCTTGTGGAACTGTAATATTAGTGCCAATTGAATAAAAAAATATTTTTAAAGTGTAAAAATCATGTGCACATGATGTTTTGAGCTAATGTATCATTATAGTCACACACAGACATCAAGATTTGGGATATGAATCACAACAATGGTGACAACCAAAACAAAAAAGCTTGGGAACAGAGGTGGAAAGTCCAGGGGTCAGAAAGTAAAAGTCCTGCCACATTTTTATTCCACCCACAGCAAAAACTCCAGTGTTAAATGAACTTTACTGGGAGTTTATTTGGATCCAGACTCAAGAGTGTTAAAGTTAATGAGATAATTAAGTGAATAATTGAGTGATGATTGAGCATTATTGGAGACACCTGATGATAACAAGCAGAATCACTGAAGGAGAACGTCACATTTTTTAAGTCACCATTATAGCGATTAGTGTCTGCTTTAGTTGGACTCTTGACCCTTATATCATTAACTTTAGATGTTGTTTGGCTGCTGTACATGAGTTATAACAGCCAGACGAACAACAAGGAAAGCTGATGCGCTGGGGTTGGTTATGTTTTGACATTATCATTTGTCACAAAACTCATTTGTAGAGTTTAACCTTTTGATTACACAGTATAACATTTTCAGAAATTTAAATATTATCCAAAAGATTTCTTAAAAGCTGTTTTATTCTAAATACTTTATGGGCACACAGACATCAAGAATCAGCCTGTGATTCTCAACAATGGTGACAATTATATAGCATGTTGCAGTGCATTCTGGGTGCCACCAATCAAAACTGATTCATGGCTCCCATCATGCATTGCGGTATGAATAAATTATGATCTGAATTGTCTTAGTCATTTCCTTTTCCTAATTGAATATTCTGTTTGTCACCATTGTTGAGATTCATACACTGAATCTTGATGTCTGTGTGTGCCTAAAACAAAGATTTTTATTTATTTATCAGAACAACGTTTAAGATATCATTTGGTTTATTTTGAAAAATCTGGATCTAATGTTATAGAATCACTGTGATGCTGTTATGATCATTATACATTTAAGTCAGAGAGTAGGCTTTAAATGAGTTCAGTGATTCAGGTCAAATGATGATTATGTCTAAACATGATCTACAACATCTGATCTGATCTGATCTCTTTGTTCATCCAGCTGTTAAAACAGCCAAACAAAATCTTTAGTTAAACATTTAAAGGTCACCTGCCCAACTAAAGCAAACACTCATCACCATAATGGTGACTAAAATATAGATCTTCTCCTTCAGTGATTCTGCTAGTTAACATCTGGTGTCTTCAATAATATCTCAATCATCACTCAATTATTCACTTAATTATCTCATTAACTTTAACACTCTTGAGTCTGGATCCAAATAAACTCCCAGTAAAGTTAATTTAACACTGGAGTTTTTGCTGTGGGTGGAATAAAAATATGGCAGGACTTTTACTTTCTGACCCCTGGACTTTCCACCTCTGCTTGGGAATCAATGATGAGTTTTGAACTAGGGCTGGGCGATATATCGCACGATATTGTTATGCGCATCTCGTCAGTAAAGCCGGTTCCTTGATTAGTAGTAAATCACCTTCACCTGCTTTCAGATGGAGCGGCATTTACTACAAAGGCCCGCGATATTTAATGCTATATGGCTCAGCTTGTCAGTTAACTACAGCTCTTTGTACACAGCAAAAACTCGTGTTAAATTAACACTCCTGGGAGTGTATGAGTCCACACTCAAGAGTGTTAAAGTTAATGAGATAATTAAGTGATTAATTGAGTGATGATTGAGCATTATTGAAGACACCTAAAGCAGAATCACTGAAGGAGAAAATCTAAAATTGTAAGCCACCGTTATGGCGATCATTGTTTGCTTTAGTTGGGCTCTTGACCCTTAGATTGATAACTTTAGATATTGTTTGGCTGATGTATCTGAGTTATAACTGGCAGATGAACTAAGAAAAAAAGTGATCTAATGATGTTTGTTATATTATGACAATCACCATTTGATCTTTATGTTTGTGATTTATGCTGTTGGTTACAACATAACTGTGATTGTGCATAAATATCCAGAATTTTAAAATATAATATAAAGGATTTCTTTAAAGTTGTTTAAAACTATATATATATTTCTATTAGGCACACACAGACGTCAAGATTCAGTCAATGCATCTCAACAATGGTGACGAGCAGAATATTCAATTAGGAAAAGTAAATTACATAGAAAATTCAGATCATAATTTATTCATACCGCAATGCATGATGGGAGCCATTAATGAGTTGTGATTGGTGGCAGCCACTGCAACATGCATTATTACTGTCACCATTGTTGAGATTCACAGGCTGATAATTGATGTCTGTGTTTCTAAATAAATTCATAAGGAAGTGTTTTGATCAGAACAATGTTTATTACATATTTTAGATTATAGCCTATACTATTTTATTAAAATACTGATAATCATATGCTGTAGAATCACAAAGCTGTTGCTAATCAGTTAAACAAAACTATCTCAATAAGTTTAATTTTTTTCAGATCACAGCATGATTATGCCATAACCTAACCAACACTATCAGATTACACTTTTCTTTGTTCATTTGACTGTTATAAATCAATAACAGCAGACAAATAAAATTTAAAGTGATAGTATAAGGGTCAGATTCCAACTAAAGCAAACACTGATCGCCATAACGGTGGCTTACAATTTGTGATTTTCTCCTTCAGTGATTCTGCTTGTTAACATCAGGTGTCTTCAATAATGCTCAATCATCACTAAATTAATCACTTAATTATCTCATTAACTTTAACACTCTTGCGTGTTAATTTAACACTCATATCTGCATCATATCTTCCATCTGAAAGCAGGTGAAGGCGATTTACTACTAATCAAGGAACCGGCTTTACTAAAGAGATACGCATAACAATATCGTGCGATATTAATAAGTGATAATATAAATGCTATTGGTGCCAATATTGCAGTTCCACAAGATAGGCGACTAGAAATGCCAATTTTTGGCTGCTGTAATTGTGTGTTTGTGTAACACAATTGATGTTGCAAAGTAAGCCAAGAATTAATAAGACCAGGTGTTATCAGCTTCATGATGATGAAATCATCACAAGAAAAGAATCAAATGTTGTCAGATACTTTGGCATTTCTAGTCGCCTATCTTGTGGAACTGCAATATTGGCACCAATAGCATTTATATTATCACTTATTTTGAGGTGGATGAAAATGATGTGTATACAATGCTTTTAGAGCAAATGTATCATGTTGTCACACATAGACATCAAGATTTTGCATATGATTCACAAAAATGGTGACAATAAAAAAAATTGTCATGCTGCAATGCATGATGGGTAGCTTTCATAGTTCAAAACTCATCATTGATTCCCAAGCTTTTTTGTTTTGGTTGTCACCGTTGTTGTGATTCATATCCCAAATCTTGATGATTATGTCATCATAAACTTTGAGCTGATAACACCTGATAATACTTTTTCTTGGCTTTCTCTGCCACAACAAGTGTTATACAAACACACAGTTACAGCAGCCAAAGAAAAGCGAAAGTAAAAATAAAGGGGACCAAGAGCCCAACTAAAGCAAACACTGATCACCACAATGGTGACTTAAAATGAAACAAATATCAACATCTAAACCTCTGCTAATTCTCACTAAGATCATCTGACAGCAATAGTCAAAGTAATTATGTCTAAATGAGACCATAAATGATGTAAAAAATATGTCCACAATGGCCACATTTGAACTAGTTTTTAAACTTGTACGCAGGGTCCATGAACGTCTATATCGGACGTGCAGAACACGTCAAAAAAAGACGTCATAAAAACGTTCATTCTGGCTCCTCAGTGGACGTCTTTTCAACGTCCGACTTTTGTGACAAAGCCATTGAAAAGACGTCTTTTGGACATCATTTTGCTCAGTGGGGGGCTATAAAAAGGATAAGCCTATACAGACCCGAGGCCCGGCCCGCGTGTGAACTATGACGTGAAAATTGGCCCGAAGCCCGGCCCTAGGGGCGTAAATAAGTCGGGGCTCGTCGGGCTCGGGCTGAAATGCAGGCCTCTAGTGTATGTGTTGTCAGAGGCTTAAAAAAGTTGTGATAAATAACAGTGAGTAACGCCCCCCATTTGTGCCTGAGCGCCCCCCTCTCTGCTGCCTCGTTCACACCGCCCCTCTGACGCCCTGTCCAAACGCCCCATTGAGAAACGCTATTTTAAAACTTGAACCTCTATGCTGAGGGTCTGGAACAAAAACAAAAGATTTTGCTTTTACTTTCTCCTTTGACAAGTTTCATCACCAGAGTTTACCATCTGCAAACTACTCTGAAATAGGCTACGATGGACACCAGGTGGGTATATTATTTGTTATCTTAAACCCTCTGGGGACTAAGCCCATTTTGGTCTGTTTTCTCTATTTGTACCGTTTGGCTTATAATAAACCATATGTAATGGAGATGGAACACCATTTGTTTGGTATTTATGGATTCAGATAACACAGTCTCACTGCGCTGATTCAGAAGACCATAAGCTAACATAAGCATGCATGTAATGTGTTTATAAAGGAAGTTTGAGGGGGAAAAATTACAATAAACTAGAGAATTTCAAAAAAGAAAATTAGATTTTTGTCATTTATTACTAAAAAACAACAACTCACACAACAATAGAGAACAGTTTTTGAACAAAAATTATATTTTTCAAACCGTTTGCTTGACAGACATTTGTAATTGTTCAATTAAATGGGTAAAGAACAATGAAATAATTAACTTTTTTACAAACAGCCCCAGGCATTTTTCATCTGTGAAAAAGCGTTCTGCTCCGGTCGGATTTCTCCTCATCACTTTCCAGTAATTGTTCCAGAGCTTGTTCTGAAGTATTTTTTAGTGCTTGCCATCATAAAAGTGCTAAAACAATATATAATAATGTAATATAATAATAATATTGCTATTTATGAAGTTATTCTGTCTCTCTCTCTCTCTCTCTCTCTCTCTCTCTCTCTCTCTCTCTCTCTCTCTCTCTCTCTCTCTCTCTCTCTCTCATATCTCTGTGCGCTCTGTGATAGGGGAGAGTGGGGTTGGTTGGCACACTTTTCACTCTCTATCATATTTCTCAGTCATGCTATATTTTAAAATAGTCCAACCAGTAACAGCTGAAAGGTTACCCAGATAGCAACATTGTTTCGGCCCAGATCCGGCCCACATCTGGCACTTGTGGGATGCGGATCTGGCCCACATGCAGCGTGGAATGACGGCCCTTGGGTGGCCCACTCCTGTTTGCCAGATCTGGGCCACAAGCAGGCCATAGCAATGCCACATGTCAGCCAAGAGCAAAGAAATAAACCAGAACTGGACTTTATCTGAGCCACAAAATCTGTGTATATTAAATATGGAGTCATCTCAACCTTAATAAGCCTGTTAACAAGCAGAATCACTGAAGGAAAGAAGATAATAGAAAAAGAGACGAGCAGAAACACAAGAACTACAACTGACTTCAGACACAGTCTTAGATGAAATCACCTGAAGAGAAAAGAAGACATTACATCTGTGAAGATCTCAGCAGAGGAGGATTAAACAACTCCACAAACAGCATTACCAGCTTCACTTATTACTAACCAGACTGACTTTATTTCTGTCAGACTTCTACAGAAGTTTTATTGAGAATTAACAGAGGTTTAACTCTAATGTGTTTCATTTGAAGTCACCATAACAGTGATTAGTGTTTCCATTAGTTGGGCTCTTAATATATCTTTTGACTTTTTTTGGCCGCTGTGACAGTGTGTTTAGTCAAACACATTTGCAGCAGCAAAGAAAGCTTAAAGTGAAATGAGATCAGGTTATAATGGTTACCTGTTGATGGTTTTATAATCATCAAGAAATAACTTGATTCATTTTTGTCTTTGGAATCTAACAATTGTGTTGATCCATTAATACACAGCAAAATTTGCAGTGTTTATATGAGTCCACACTCAGAGAGTGTTAAATGAACACTGAAGCAGGGCTAAAGTTAATGAGATAATTAAGTGATTAATTGAGTGATAATTGAGATTTATTGAAGACACGTGATGTTAACAAGCAGAATCACTGAAGGAGAAAATCGTAGTTGGTATGTTACCATTATGGAGATTAGTGTTTGCTTTAGTTGGGCTCTTGACCCGTTAAGAGTTAACTGTAGATTTTGTTTGGCTGCTGTACCTTAGCTATAACAGCTAGATGAACGAAGAGAAAAGGTGATATGATGGTGTTGGCTGTGTTTTAACATAATCAATAGTTGGCCTGAATCACTAAACTCATTGAGAGCATAATTTCAGAGTTAAATTTACCTTATGGATTACAGCTGCACTGTCCTTGTGTAGTATGCATTTTTTAGCCTTTTCAATTAAATCCAAATGATCAAATTACAAAAAAAAAAAACCTTCTTAAAAGTATTTCAGGTAGGCACATACAGACATCAAGAATTAGCGTATGAATCTCAAGAATGGTGACAAACAGATCGCCTCTGAACATAAACTCATTATTTATTCATGCAGCAATGCATGATGGGAGCCATGAATGAGATTTGATTGGTGGCATCCAGAATAAGCTGCAAAATGCTTTATAATTGTCACCATTGTTGAGATTCACAGGCTGATTCTTGATGTCTGTTTAAAAAAAAAAAAAGAAATTTTTTATGTGATTAAGTTTTAAGAAATTATTTGGATTACATTGTAAAAGTTACAAATATTATGCTTCTCAACGACAGTGCTGCTATCATCAATAAGGTAAACCTTACTCAGAAACTGGGCTCTATTTGAGTTCAGTGATTCAGGTCAAATGATTGTGAAATAATGATAATGTTAAAACACAACCAACACCATCATATCACCTTTTATCTTTGTTCATCTGGCTGTTATAATTCAGGTACAGCAGTCAAACAAAAGCTAGAGTTAATAACTTAAGGGTCAAGAGCCCAACTAAAGCAAACACTGATCTCCATAATGGTAACATACCAACTACGATTTTCTCCTTCAGTGATTCTGCTTGTTAACATCAGGTGTCTTCGATAATGCTCAATTAATCACTTAATTATCTCATTAACTTTAGCCCTGCTTCAGTGTTCATTTAACACTCTCTGAGTGTGGACTCATATAAACACTGCAGATTTTGCTGTGTATTAATGGGTCAACACAATTGTTAGATTCCAAAGACATCAGTGAATCAAGTTATTTCTTGATGATTATAATACCATCAACAGGTAACCATTATAACCTGATCTCATTTCACTTTAGCTTTCTTTGCTGCTGCAAATGTGTTTGACTAAACACACTGTCACAACGGCCAAAAAAAGACAAAAGATATATTAAGAGTTAAGAGCCCAACTAATGGAAACACTAATCACTGTTATGGTGACTTCAAATGAAACACATTAGAGTTAAACCTCTGTTAATTCTCAATAAAACTTCTGTAGAAGTCTTACAGAAATAAAGTCAGTCTGGTTAGTAATAAGTGAAGCTGGTAATGCTGTTTGTGGAGTTGTTTAATCCTCCTCTGCTGAGATCTTCACAGATGTAATGTCTTCTTTTCTCTTCAGGTGATTTCATCTAAGACTGTGTCTGAAGTCAGTTGAAGTTCTTGTGTTTCTGCTCGTCTCTTTTTCTATTCTCTTCTTTCCTTTAGTGATTCTGCTTGTTAACAGGCTTGAGATGACTCCATATTTAATATACACAGATTTTGTGGCTCAGATAAAGTCCAGTTCTGGTTTATTTCTTTGCTCTTGGCTGACATGTGGCATTGCTATGGCCTGCTTGTGGCCCAGATCTGGCAAACAGGAGTGGGCCACCCAAGGGCCGTCATTCCACACTGCATGTGGGCCAGATCCGCATCCCACAAGTGCCAGATGTGGGCCGGATCTGGGCCGAAACAATGTTGCTATCTGGGTAAGATCTCGGCTACTCAACAGATACATTTAATGTTCGCAAATGATGCCTACATTTTTTTTTTATTCATCATTAAAGTGATGTTGTGCACTTGTGCCAACCAGCCCCATGTATGGGGTGAAATGGCACATGCAATGGGGTTGGTTATTGGCAAAGATTATAGTTACAAAGAATGAGGTGACAAATTTAAAGAACTTGAGCATTTAATTCAAACCAGATGCAGAATAACATTCAACAGAATTTCTGCCCATTTGAACCAAATTATTAACCAAACCAAAAACAAATACAGTTTGTATAGTATATGTGTGTGTGTTTGTGTATGAGTGGCACTGAAGACAAACTTCCCCAGGCCGACTATTCCCATAAAACTCAAAACAAACGAGATAGTATTCAAATGAACTAAACAACAGTTTTTATGTGTGGGGTGTGTGTGTGGTGAGTGGCACTGAAACTAAACTTCCCCATTTATACTTATTATATGTATAAATATACAATATAACGTTATTATTATAATGTGAAGTCTATATATACACTGTAAACCCTAATGTTGTCTTTACTTAAACAATCAAGTGTACTTGACTAAACATTACTTTAAATGTAGCATTTTGGCCCTGTCACTCAAAAATATAAGTTCAAATAACTTATTTACCTTCAAAATACATAAACTTAAGATTTCAAGTGCTGTGAGCTCAAAATCCTGATTAATCCTTACAAAAGGTCATTTTCACAAATGTTGTTTTCTTGACTGTGAAATGAATACATTCATACATGGTTTCTTCAAGTGCAAGGTGTCATTCTTATTTTACCAGAAAACAAATGGCTTTCATTATATTACAATTATTGATCGTAATGGAAATAAACTGATTTTTATTTTTAAATGATACTTTAAACTTGATAAATAAACTTTAATACCCATATACAAGTGTTTTTGTAATACAGTACATCCCCAGTGTTAAATTTACACTGCTCAGTGTTTATATGAGTCCACACTCAAGAGTGTTATAAGTAACACTGAACCAGTGTCAAAGTTGATGAGATAATTAAGTGATTAATTGAGTGATGATTGAGCATCATTTGTACAAGTTCTGAAAGTTAACACTGAAAACACTAATAAGTTGATTGAACTCAATTGATTTGAGTAAACTCGTTCCCTCAATTTAATTGAGTAATGGGGTCTCCCAAAACGTGCATATTTAAGTGTACTTAACTTGGTGCTTATGTAGACTTGACTTAAATTGTTTAGTTCACCAAACTTGACGATTAATTTAATGTACTTAAACAATAAAGTTCACTTAACTTAGTGTTGATTTCAAGTGTACTTGTATATTTAAGTACACAGCAAAATCCCCGTGTTAAATTAACACTGCTCAGTGTTTAAATCAGTCCACACTCAAGAGTGTTATAAGTAACACTGAAGCAGTGTTAAAGTTAATGAGATAA